CCTCAGAATTGCCATTGGATAGTGTATCAATGTTCAGTTCGGATTAAACACTTAACAGTCATCCTGCAACAATAGGAAGGGGTACTTCCTTCTATAGCTGTGCCAGTGGCAAAAAATGCTAGTGGCCCTAGTGTAAACAGTCTGGCCGTGGCTGAAATGGCTGACGTGCTTGTTGTCTGCTGAAGAGGGAATAAGAGCCTCCTTTGTGTTTAACCGTTTTTCTTTATGTCATCCCCCCGCCCCGTTTCCCTAACCTGAAGCTCATTTTTCATATTTAAGGGGAGTATTAAATTGGGAAGAACTGCTCCCTGTAGGGTTGGAATTTCATTTTGAGCAGTTGCCTCATGAGAGTAGCAACAGTTCAATGGGATAATGGTATCTGCTCTGAACCAGTGCTAATAGTCTAACCCTGTGGGAGCCAGAAGAATTCTCCCCCAGAGAGCTAGCATGCAAATTCCCTTCCAGGCGGCTACTGCACAGGCCTTTGGTGATTAGTCACGCTGGGGCTCAAGGCAGCAGACAGCAATACATATGTTGGGGTGTTGTTTTTTTGCAGCCTCAAAACTGCAGCTGGGGCCTGGGAGTCTAGTCTGTGTACAGAGGCTGATTCGATGGGAGAGGGGCCGGTTGAGTTGTCCCTTCAGATCTTAGGCCTTTTTTTGTGTAAGAAGGAAGACAATATTTCTTGAAATTAATGGAACTAAAAAATAACATTGATAAAGGGCTGCTTCTTGTCGGACAGGATGAAAAGGTAGCTAAGAATCTGATACTGAAAAGAATTGGTAACAGATGCATATTTGGATAGACAGTGGCAATATCATGAAGCATGTCTTCACTATAATGCATTTAATCAGTAAGAAAAAAGAAAGTTTTTGCAATGACTTGATAACTAATTTTGCATGTAGGGTTTCATTCACTCTTTAACCCTTAATGTATAGTGTTTATTTATTTGGAGTGATGTGTAATTGATAAGCAGTGGGTGTTGTTAAAGTGAGTGCTTGTGAGAGGAGAAAGTAAAGGTAAAGGTTCCCTTGCTCGAGTGCTTGTGAGAGGCGAAAAGCAGCATATAAATCCTCTAAAGAAATAAATGTAAAAATGTATGTGTTAAGTGCTGTCACATTAAAAATGCAAGTCCATAATTCATAATTCCAGTTTATCCCTGTGCGCTTAAGCTCTGAGAGCTCGCTGATCATGTGTTTATTATGTCTGCAAGTGCCCTTTGAGAGAGAGAGAGTGTGTAGACGGATGAGACTGCTTGGCTTCCCTAACCCCAATTAATGAAGTCTTGCCTTGGCCATCTTTCTTTTCTTGAAGATTCAAGTGGAATACTTGCCTCCCAGCACTGAGCCTTTATGGGTCCCTATCCCATATAGCCTGAGCTAATTTTTGTTGTCATTTTGAAGAGTGGGGGAGGCACTGCTGTTGCAGGACTGGAATGAAAGGGGGAAAGTGACTTATCAAGTTACTCCATTGCTTCACTGAAGAGAAATTTGGGGTAGAACTGCACTTAAAATTTAGAAACCTTGGTAGGACCCCAAATTCTGCAAGGAGGAAGGGTGAGATGATAGTGCTAAAATCATGAGGATATATAAAACAGACTATATGAGCCCTGCTGGAATAGATCAACAACCTTACTGTAACAGTGGCTGGAAAGATGCTACCAGGATGCCACAAACAATGCATGAAAGAAGCAATCCCCCTCACAACTTTTATCTGGTATTTATACAGCTTATGGACAAAGATACTTTATTTAGCTATCCTCCGTGAATCCACTGTGACATTCCCCTCCACCTCACACTGAAATCTGTCATTCTGCCATCATTGGGAGCCAACCCCTGAGCTTCCCTTGGCCTTAGAATGGGGAGAGGAGGGGGTTGTGCCAGCTTGTTCTCTCTCCGGTTGCTTGCTCTCACACTCCTGGAGCAGGATCCATTGCTTCCTCCCTGGCCTGTTGTGGGGACTGCTTTATATGGACTTGCTTCGGCCTTGCCTCTTCCACAGCCTACTCCAATCCCCTGCCCTTAAGATGGCCTAGCCTGTCCCTTCCTCCCTGCTGTCCCCATGATAGAAACTCCCTGGGGCTGCCTGATAGCCCCTGTTGTGGCACTTGCAAAGGATTGGCTGACCTAGGAGGCCTGCTGGAGTGGAAATTTCCATCAGCTGGCTCGGGACCGTCTCCCATAGGCCATCCTGTTCCCAGTGGCTGCCCATGACACTGGTTCTCCCTGTTTCCTGCTGGCCATCTGCTTCTCCTGATAATGTGATGCTGCAGTGTTCACTGTTGTCTCCTCTGCTGCTGGGCTGGTCCTCTGGGGCCACGGCTGAGTCTCGGCCAGCTGTGGTGAGTCCAGGGCCTTTACATTACTTTGTATACTGAAATCTACTGCTAATCAATTTCTTTGGGTGACATTGCATACTACTGTTATGCAACAGGTTGAAAAATGTCTCCCCACTGTCTCTCAGCCATGAATGTGGAGAGTCCTGCTGAAGAAGGCCTGTGGTCAGTTTAGTCTAGCATTCTCCTGTTTCACATAGTGGGAAACCTGTTGCCCTTGATGACCACCTAATGCTGGTTTTCAGAGGCTTACTGCCTCTGAATCCCTTTGGTCACCAGGGCTAGTAGCCATTGATAAGCCTATCCTCCTTGAAATGGTCTAATCTGCTTTGAAAGCTTTGAAAGTTCTCTGTGCTGGTAGCCATTTCTATGTCTGCTGTTGGTGAGTCCCACAATTTAAACAGTCACTTAAGTGCATCAAAAATGGATTATTTGGCATATGTGAAAGCACCATTAATTATTCTTTGAGTAAAGAAGTATTTCCTTTTGCTCATCCTGAATCTGTTGCATATTATCCCAACTGTGTAGTTTCATGAATCTCTATTGTATCTCCCCAACAAAATCTCCCATCTACCATTTTCTTTGTGAGGAGTGGGTGACCCATCCAGGGTAGGAATACAAGGGACTTCAGTTTCTTATGGTCCACTCTTGTTCATGTAATATGTTGCAACAGTTTTTGCCCTTCTTTCGTCTTCTCACTTAGCTAGCTTGTACTTCATGTTCCTCTGATTCCAAGCAATGTATGCCTACCATAAATGAACTGTTGGGAAATGTCATGGCACTTGCAAAGGGACATTTACATTAATTGGCATTTGATCTATGAGTCTTTCCTCAGTGACGGGCCTATTTGATAAAATGGGCCTTACCTCTGAGTAAATCTGATTAGGATTGCTCACTGTATTAAGATTGGAATGTTAGTTGCCCTTTTCTGAATTTATTTGCTGCTCATTGGGGACTGTTCTTCTGTGTAGGTGCTGAAGTTTATACCAGACACTGGTAGCAATCCTAGGCTACAAGGGGCTGGGGAACTGGGAAACAAGAAAGACTGAATCTCTGGAGTGACATTTCTTACCTTTACGGGAACTACATATCCTCCCAGTTCTTGTGTTACTGATTCATTCATTCCCCCTCAGTGCTGGAGAGGAAGCTCATTCGATGACAGCTGGAAGATTGTATCAGCTTTGACTGGGCAGGGATGAAAGGTTTCCACAATCTTAGTCTTTTCCTTGTTCTTGCTTTTCTGTGTATGTGTTGTTTTTTTAAAAAAAAATAGTTGAGGTAACATTGTTTCTTTTGGAGAATGCACCTGTCAGGAACAAAATCTTGTGCTGCTTCCCTTCTCGTCATAGCTGGCAGCCTTTGAAGCACAGCCCTTGCAAGGCTGAGCGTTTCTTTCATCCTTGAGTGGAGGTTGGGCTGTGGTTGATTTATGCTGTCTTTTTGAATTCCAGCCTTTACGGATGGCGACTTCACATTTCTGAGGGATCTTCCTCCCCCAATGACGCTGGCAAAATAAGATAACACTTTTAAAAATAGTTGAATAATCTAATTGCAGTTACTAACCATTGGCAATAAGCAAACATTTTACACAGCAATGCATATGCAATTGTTGCTCCAGTGACATGTAGGATCCAGTTGCAGAGAAAGTAAAAAATATTGGTTGGTATTGCAAGTAGAATGACTATATAAATGGCAGTATTTCGGGCATCAGATTACCAAAGAAAGCATAGATTACATTGATATACAGCTACAGTTTATAGTGATATAAAATTAATGAAACCTATTAATTAATAAATTATAAATAATGAACATGAGCTTTGATAAAATCAATTCATAGCATGAAGGAGATCTCACAACATTAGGATCTTCACTGATAACCACAGTAACCATTCTTAGTTTAGTTTAGTTTTATTATTACAGTCTTAAGACCAGCATACAATTCAAACATAGTATGAAAAAGAAGGAAAAAAACAGAGATAATATACAGAATAAAATCTAAATTTAAAAACTTTTAAAATGCGACTCCCGCAATCTTAAGAATTAACAGTAACCATTCTATTTTATGAAAGTGGTGTTAACAAAACCTCTAGATAATGTTAATTGACACTCTTGTTTCTCTGTGGCTGCTAATTGCCATTTTTAAATAACCCACTAGATTTTTCTGATCAGGTTGCTGAAAGTCACGTAATGACCAAATATTTATTTAGGTTTTTATATTTTTTCTCAGTGGTCTGGTTTCTTACTGATCAAGCTCTGTCTGTCCTATTAATATGATTTCCAGCAGTAACTATATCGATAAGTATCAATATTGTTCAGTCTCTAATATTGGAAGCAATAAGTTGTTATTGGTATTCTATAAGAAGGGGAAATTAGCTGTTGTCTTATCATAAGACTGTAAGGGTGTCACGTTCATGTTTCCTTAAGGGAAGAACTAAGTTAAACATTAAAGCAACGCCCTTTGGGAGAAGATGGGGATACTCCTGAGGAGAACAGCACTGCCCAGCTGCAAATATTCTGAACTCATGTTTTTACTTTTTTAGTAACTTTGTAATATGCAAGAACTTGTTTATTGTCATTAATGGCCTTGGCACAGATTGCAGGATTGCCAAAGTAAACAGTTTATTGAAACCTTTTGGGGTTGCCTCTCTTTTTTTTTGTATTTCAGTGTTGCCTACTTGCTCCCCATTGGATTTTCACTGTGACAATGGCAAGTGTATCCGTCGTTCATGGGTCTGTGATGGGGACAATGACTGTGAGGATGATTCTGATGAGCAAGACTGCCGTAAGTTACCTCGTCACAGGTCTTAATATGCAAAATCATTTTCTTGTAGCAGTACTGGTATATTCTCAGCAGTGTTGAATCCTGTTGTGATTAATGTGATTAAACTCTACAATAGTTACTAGTTGTTCTTGTAATTACGGTGTTGTAGTCCCTGGCCCCTGACTCAGGGCATCAGATGATATTCTCCATCCATTCATTTTTATAGCTCATAGACCCATAAGTCATAAGCAAATAGGATATAATACAAAATACAACGTATATGCATACAGTACATTACAATTACAGTTACAATTTCACAAAATTAAACAATTTGGTTACCAAATATATATTAACTGCCTAAAAGAGTCAATTCATTTAATACCACCCAGGGTTACAGATAAAAACTTTGCCACTGCCAACGTCACATTTGGATCAGTATCAGCTAAGAGATTAGCTACAAGTTCCTGATTAGTAGCTCCATTTTTAAATATACACTGAGATCCATCTGTCACGAGCCATATTGTGTTTTCTGCAATCAATGAAAAAATGCCAAATTGTATCCAAATCACCTGAATTACAATTACAAAGTCGTTCTGAAAAAGGGGTCCCTAGGAATCTGCCCGCTAGTTCAATCTGCCCGCTAGTTCCCCACGAGGCAAAACATTTAATCTTGCCTTGGAAAACAATATTCTATATTTGGGGACCATCAGATGATGTTCTGTGAGCTATTGCCATCCTTGTCCTTTGGTAGAAGAGATACAGTTCCACAAGCCCTTAGGAATTCTTTTACTGCCTCTCTCCTGCTTTTGGACTCCCACAACATGGGTGTTCTCCGTATTTGAAGAAGGAGGAATTCCAAGGATGTTGGGTGGCACAGAGAGTAGTACTGAATACACTAAATCCTACATTATGTTTGACTTGTTTGCTTCTTATCTTTAACCCTCAGCACCACGGGAGTGTGAGGAGGATGAATTCTCATGTCAGAATGGATACTGCATACGTAGCCTGTGGCATTGTGATGGTGACAACGACTGTGGGGACAACAGCGATGAGCAGTGTGGTTAGTAGCCTGACTGTGTCACTAGGCACATGTGCTGCCTAATTCCATAGAACAGCCATTTTAAAACAGATGATTTTTAAAAGTGCTTGCTTGGCCTTTAGTCTTATGGTGGCATATATTCAGGAGACCTGCAGGTAGTTGGACAGTTATTTTGGCTCAATGTGTGGGCCCAGAACAAAGATAAATATTAAATGATAGGTCCACTTAGAGTTTGAGATTTTTGCTAGGACAGCAGTTGCTTAAGTGGGATTGCTGGATTGAGGAGCTTGGGTCAAAACATTTGACTTTTTTTCCCTAAAGTCCATTGTTTGAGAGCTGGGTCTGCATTCTTTTTTTCCAAACCAAACTAAACTGTGATGTCATCTGTCTACTGGAACTTTAATATCGTATGTTACATAACATTTATTTAGAATTCCTGTTCATTCCAATTTTTACATTCAGAACCTAATAGTAAAATGAGGAAGCAAACAATTCTTGATTTGTACCGTGGACTTATTTGTGTGCTCGGGGGTGTTAAGGTGTTCTCAGATTGACTGATAAATTGCACAAATGGAGTCCTGGGAGGGTAGAGTGTGTGACCTTTCAGTTGAGCTACCTTTGGCTCTGTTTTGCAGATATGAGAAAGTGTTCAGACAAAGAGTTCCGCTGCAGTGATGGCAGCTGTATAGCTGAGCACTGGTTCTGTGATGGTGATACAGATTGCAAGGATGGCTCAGATGAAGAGAACTGCCGTAAGTACCTTCTGCTTTTCAGTGCCTTTAGCAGTCAGAAGCTCTCCATCCTGCCTGACCTTCTGAAATAAACATTTGGAATTACTTCAGGATGCAATACCCCTTGCATTGGGGACCAGTTATTATCACCTAGCTGTGGTGTAGTATAGTAGCAGATCAGCAGTGCAAATATGTGCAGCTATTTTGCCCAAACTGGACTTCTCTGAAACCCCTGATCAGTCTACACCCGTGCTTATCATTACATTACTCTCTTTCCTTGATAACATCATGCTTCTTTGAAATTATTTATTTATTGATTTGATTTGATTTGATTTCTTTTAGCCCACCCTTCCTCCCCTTCCTACCAGGCTCAGGGCAGGTTTACAACGTGGTTGAAACATACAACATAATTAAAATATGATACATCCTTAAAAATCTATAAAACTATCAATTAATCACTAACATTATTAAAACATTGCTAAAGCATTTGATGCTGTCTGCTGCATGATTAAAAAGTCCCAGGGGATTTGGATCGTGGGTAGCCGTAGATGGAGCAGTTCAGTGCAAAAGACTGGGTGAGAAAGTCAGCCATGCTGGAATAGAGCAGGGCAGAGCAGGAGAGGCCAATATAGATGAATTGTCGCCGCCTCAACCATAGGCCTGGCAGGACCTCTCCATCCCCCAGCCCCTCTCTCCTGCGCTTTCCATAAAAGGAATAATTTTGAAATGGGAACAGATGTCTCTTAGAACAGCAGTGGACTGCCCCAATCTCTCTCCCCCCCCCTTTCCATAAAAGGAGCAATGTTTTCTTCCACAGTAATTCTTCTTTAGAATGGTTCTCGTAAAGGAATACAAGTGCAAAGAAATGTATTGAAATTGAAAAATCGTGTGGATTTTTTGAGGAGGGTGCATAGGTACAAACTTGCAAGACGTTGCTATTCTTTTCAAGGAAAGAATCAACAGAACTTTTAGTCATGGTCTAGTTTCCATTCATATTTTAAAGAACATATGAGCCCAGCTGCATCTAGTCAAGAATTCTGTTTCACACACTGGCCAACTAGTTCTGGAGGACTGACCAACAGGGCACAGAGGCCAAGGCCTTCCTCTGATATTTCCTCCTAGAACAGGTTGCTGCCTCTGTATACGAAGCTTCCCTTTCTTACTATGGCTAGTAGCCATTGATGGACCTATCCTACATAGAAGCATAGAATCATGGAGTTGGAAGGGGCCATACAGGCCATCTGGTTCAACCCCCTGCTCAGTGCAGGATCATCCTAGAGCATCCCTGACAAGTGTTTGTCCAGACACTGCTTAAAGACTGCCAGTGAGGGGGAGCTCACCACCTCCCTAGGCAGTTGATTCCACCTTTGCACAACTCTTACTTGTAAAACTCTTGCATAAATTGGTCTACTCTCCTTTTAAAGACATCTGGGTTCAAGGCCATCACTGTTTTCACTGGCATTGAATTCTACAATTTAATTTCTCATAAAGTACTTTCAATGTGGTGTAGTTGTTAAGTGTCAGACTGAGATCTGGGAGCCCCGGGTTCAAATCCTCACTCTGCTGTGGCAGTTTGCTGGGTGACGTTGGGCCAGTCACACACTCTCAACCTAACCTACCTCACAGGGTTGTTGGGAGGATAAAATGGAGGGATAATGTAAGCCTCTTTGGGTCCCCATTGTGGAAGAAGGTGATGTATAAATGAAGTAAATACATTCCTTTAGAATCTGTTGCCCATCAAGTAGTGTTACTTGAAAAACATTTACTTATCTCCCTTATAAATAAAAGCCAAATGGTGGTGGCATTTCTCTAGAACATTCCACACGCTCCAAAATCAGTTCACTCTCTGATCTGTCATTCAGAGGGTCTCCCTATCCACTGGCTGCTTTGTCTGAGTCCTGCCTCCAACATTCTAAACATTTTGCTGTTCCTCTCCCCCCCATAGCCA